GCCTATTCCAGTTCCACGACACTTCGGGCTGTTATGAAAATACAGCCCTCGTGCCAGGGAATGAACCAGAAGCCGCCTGACGTCAGAGGCACAGTCACCCCTCGAACGGGGCGGGGGTGCCCACCGCACCCCGGCCCGGGGCATCGGGCTGGTCCCAGGGCACCGGCTGAAAGGGGGGGGGCTGGAGGAGACCCGCTCCGAAGCGGCCCTGCGGGCTGTCGCCTCCGGAGGGAGCCCCGCCCGCTCTCTCCGGCCACTCGTGTGGCCCAGGGCAAGGGCGAGATCGAGTGGCCCAGGGCAAGGGCGAGATCGTAGCGGCTGGGATGTTGATTCTAGTGGGACAAGTCAGCCTTTCTCTCCATCACTCTCTTTTATTTTTATTTTTATTTTTATTTTTTTTTTTTTTTTTTATTTATTTTGAGTTGGAGTCTCACTCTGTCACCCAGACTGGAGTGCAGTGGCCGCTCCCGGCCACCGCAGCCTGGACCTGCTGGGTTCTGGCAATCCTTCCGCCTCAGCCTTCTAAGTAGCTGAAACTACAGGCGCACGCTACTATGCCCAGCTAATTTTTTATTTATTGTAGAGATTAGGTCTCGCCAAGTTACCCAGGCAGGTCTCGAACCCATGGGCTCAGGCAATCCACTCACCTCCGCCTCCCAAAGTGCTGGGATTACAGGCTGAGCCACCGAGCCCAGCTAGATGCATTTTTACCATATGCTGGAATTGGAAGAAATGAAAGGCAATTTATGAATGGTTTCCCTTGTGTTGTGGGCAACTTTCAGCACGTCACAGAGAGGGAGCTGCTTTGATAGGTACAAAACCCTCAGCCCAGAGCAGGTCATCTTGGAAGGCAATTGAAAACCTGAAAGTGGCTCATACCTGTAATCCCAGCACTTTGGGAGGCTAAGGCAGGAGAATTGCTTGAGCCCAGGAGTTTGGGTCCAGCTTAGGCCACATAGTAATAGCCAAACCAGAGGGTCTCTCTAAAAAAATCTAAAAAATTAGTTGGGTCAGACTCGGTGGCTCAGCCTATAATCCCAGCACTTTGGGAGGCCGAGGCGAGTGGATTGCCTGAGCCCGTGGGTTCAAGACCAGTCTGGGCAACTTGGTGAGCCCTCATCTCTACAATAAATAAAAAATGAGCCAGGTGTGGTAGCATGCGCCTGTAGTTTCAGCTACTTGGAAAGCTGAGGTAGAAGGATCGCTGGAACCCAGCAGGTTGAGACTGCGGTGACCGTGAGCATGCCACTGCATTCCAGCCTGGGCGACAGAGTGAGACTCCAACTCAAAAAGTAAAATAAAATAAAATTAGCTGAGCACATGCCTATAGTCCTAGCTATTTGGGATACTGAAATGGAGGTCACTTGAGCTCAGGAGTTGGAAATTCCAGTGAGCAGTGATCACAATGCTGTACTCCAGCCTGGGTAGAAGAGCAAGACCTTGTCTCTACCAGCAGAGCAGAAGTAAATGAGGCCAGCTTGCCACCCTTATTTTTAAAGTAAGCATTAGAACAAGTTTGGACACTTATCTGGAGTCCTCTTGTGTTTTTAAAATACTAATCTGAAGATAACTTTGGTTCATGCAACTGAGAGAAAATTACATCATCTTAAAAAAAAAATGAGAGCATGAAATTTTACTGCATTTTCATTCTGTTGGAAAGTATGAAATATGAACTTGTTAAATCTTTGAGCAGTTTGAGAGAGACATGTGAGACCAGAGTAGGAAACTGTAAACAGAAATGACCAGCAGTATGTTGATATGTTGACTCTAGTCAGATACTGTGTGTACACAGCTGATGGGCAAGTACATTGTAACAATATATTGTTTTTGATGTAGGATGATTTCAGTGTTACTCTGAAGAGCCAACTCATGATTCTGAGTAATCTCAGTAGCCAGTGAAAAAAGCTGAATTCTGAATGCTGCATTGTGTCACTCTGTGGAATTTGCCAAGTTCAGCAGAACTCGATAAGAATGGCACCAACAAGAGTAGCAAGCATCTGCAGGGATTTTCCTTCGGCTTTGATAGTAAAAAGAACCGTCTGTATGTGGAGACTGTCTGAAGCTCCCTTCCTGGAGCAGCTATTTCACAGAGAACTAGACCTGTCAAAAAAATCATGTGACTGTGTCAGGCTCTGCACTTCTCATCTACCTCCTCAAAAGAATGAGAGCTTTGGTCAAAAAAAATAAATCTTGTTCAAACCACAGAGAGTCAAAATACCTCTTAACTTTGAGGCCCTCTGGTTTGGGGTTATAGCATCACGTTTTAAAAACAATACTGCTTCATTGGAATTTTTTTATTCCTGTGGGTTATATTGAAAGAAGTTATGGGAAATTTTAATTGTTCTTGGCCTAAATCTTGGCCTGAAACTTTAGGTTATCATTGGCAATAAAAATGATTACTTTTTCATTTATTTGGTACTATAGATGTTAAATACTGACTCAATTTAAACTAGATTATTCCAGAAAACTTTCGGCTAACGTAGTTTCAAAGTTTTGTGAAATATTTGTTAGCAATTTGTCTAAAAAATATAATCTTCTAGAGAATAAAACAGTGCTTAAGAGTGGGGGTTCTAGAAACAGTTTGCCTGGGTTGCATACTGGCTCTGCTTTGTACTAGTTGTGGAGCCTTAGGCAAGTTATTTAATCTGTATCTCAGTCTTCTCATCTGTAACATGGGATTTTTATAGTTTCTTTTCTTTTTTTTTTTTTTTTGAGTCAGAGTCTCACTCTATCGCCCAGGCTGGAGTGCAGTGGCACACTCACAGCCACAACAGCCTTGAACTAATGGGCTCAGACGATCCTTCTACCTCAACCTTTCAAGGAACCACAGGTGTGCACCATCATACCCGGCTAATTTTTTTTTTTTAATTGTAGAAACGTAGTCTCACCAAGTTGCCCAGCTGGTCTGGAACCCCTAGGCTCAGGCATTCCTCTTGCCTCTTAAAGTGCTGGGATTACAGGCGTGAGCCACTGCACCTGGCTGCCAGTAGTTCCTTCCTGTTTTTATAGGGCTATTGCAAAGTAAAAGTTAATGCAAGTAAAGTGCTTAGAGTGATGTTTGTCTTTCTAACTGCTCAGCAAATACCATTTATTTCCTCATCATTTCTGTCACTTATTTTTGCTTCACTTCTTGTGACTTTGTTGTATGTCTTTTTTGGTATGTTTCCTTTTTTAATTATGAAAATTGTAAACATATTCAAGAGTAAAGAGAATAATACAGTGGATCTCCATGTGAGCACTACCTGGATTCAACAGTTGCAAGATTTTCCATGCTAGCTGGCATTATATCCCAAAACACAGTTTTCCCACGTTCTTGTTCCTGCTTAGGTAACAACAGTGAAGCTCACTTGAGTTCTTTTTAAGGTATTAATCACTGATCTTAGGTGATTTTGCCAGTCTTTTTAGAAAAACAGCGTATTTCATATAAAAATTACTGATGTACCTCCTTCTGAGTTTAGTGTATTTTCTCTCTAGGCTTGTCTTTGTATTAGGAGGAACTAGTCTTCCTTGTGTAGATTTAAAGTTTACATTGTTCTTTACAGTCAGAAGAAGAAGTTGCAGAAGGAGAGAAGGAAGTTGAGGCTTTGAAGAAAAGTGCAGACTGGGTATCCGACTGGTCCAGTCGACCTGAAAACATTCCGCCCAAGTGAGTTCTCCCGTGTCTCTTGCAGACACAGTTGCTCCGGTCCATATGCTCACAGGCAGAGGGTGTTCTCAGCAAATGCTCTGCATTTCTTTCTCAGGGAGTTCCACTTCAGGCACCCTAAGCGTTCCGTGTCTCTAAGCATGAGGAAAAGCGGCGCCATGAAGAAGGGAGGCATCTTCTCTGCAGAGTTTCTGAAGGTGTTCATTCCGTCTCTCTTCCTCTCTCACGTTTTGGCTTTGGGGCTAGGGTAAGTACTGGAAGGCTCTCCAAGCTTTTTCCGTTGTCCCATCCTCGTCTTCTGTTTTCACATGCGAGATATGTACATGAAAGCAGTTTGTATTGTTTTGCTTTGAACGTTTCAGTGCACATTGGGTGAACTTTAGAATGCTAAAGTTGATACCTGATTCGTCCACCAATAAGTATTTTTAATAATTGCGGGGGTTTTTCTTTTTTGAAAATAAGATATATTAATTCCTTAAGTGCTCATTTTTAAGTGGACTCTTCTATGGTTTAGTTTTATTTTGGAGTTTTGATCTTGTTTATTAAAATTTAATCTTGAGTAATTTGTGAAGTAAACTGATCTTTAATTTGTACATTTGGGTTTTGGTGCAAATACTTTGTTTCTATATGGGGAGATACACAATTATATTCAGTAGTCCTTAGATGAAATTGGTGGTTGGTACTGTTTTTTCCTTTCTTAACTTTGTAACATTTTCATGTATCCTGCTAAAATTGCCTGATTACCTGTAGTTTATTAGTTTTTCTGGCATATCTGTTATATTGCTTTTTAAAAATGTGAACAATTGTGGAAATACACTTCTGAAAGATTTTAGGGGTTGAACAGTAGCTGTTAATTTTTCCAAGACATGACCGTTAGCTGCGGTGTGCCCTGTGGGTCATTACAGCATATGACACACAGCAGGCGGCCCCTCCCTGTTCTGCTCTGCACGATGCATCAGAGAGCGATTCTCAGTCTCGAACACGGAATCAGATGTGCAGCTTTCCGCACGTCCTCTTGTCTCTCTCGGGTGCTGGGCCTGCTCTTGGGAGGGTGAGGACAGTGGTCACAAACAGCACCCAGAAGGGTCTGTGAGGAAGGGTAGACTTGCGTGCAGGTCTGAGTGGCTGGGGACGGGGTGGGTGTTTCCTGCATTCCTGCAAGCAGGTCACTTGCCCTTCAGAGGCTGGTTTTGGACTTCGTGGTGTCTCTCTCTCTCTCTCTCAGTAATCTTCAGACTGTTCTCTCGCTCTAAGTTTAGCTCTTACCTTGGACGAATATCAAAAGGGTTTAAAGATTTGGTTACTTTTGCTACACTGGGGAAGCCAGTTACATATTTTCTTAACTTCCCTTCTGCTTGTGTGTTGAGGGGGCCAAATACTTGCCAGGCGTGGAAAAGTCTCGTTGGCCCCCTAATCCTTGAGTGTTATTAGGCAGAGCTGGCTTTAAGGCACTGGCAGATTTAGTTTTTTCTCTCTACACAGGACGTTAGTGAACGTAATTTGGCCTGTTGCCATATTTTGATATCTGAAATATCAGTAGAACCTTTTGTCCACCAGAAGGGAGCATCTCAGAGGAGGCTGTCTCTGCTCTACCCTGCGGAAGGATCTGTTCTCTCTGACTTTACTTCGCCTAATCACTGCCCTGTGCTGTCCAGTCCCAACTTAATGAGTAAACAGAATCATAGAAAACCAGTTTGGCTGGGCTGGGGACTGGTTTTGAGAGAGTCAGCGATGATACCAGGGTGTTCAGGGAACTGTGTACATGCATCTTTAGAGCCTTTTACAAGGGCTGAAAAACTGAGTTTTTGAGTGGTGTTCAGCTTATGGACAAACTGATGCAGAACTGTTGAAACAGATGAAACATGACTCACTCTGCTTCCTTTCAGCATCTATATTGGAAAACGACTGAGCACACCTTCTGCCAGCACCTACTGAGGGAAAAGAAAAGCCCTGGAAATGCGTGTGACCTGTGAAGTGGTGTATTGTCACATAGTTATTTGAACTTGAGACCATTGTAAGCATGACCCAACCTACCACCCTGTTTTTACATATCCAATTCCAGTAACTCTGAAATCCAGTATTTTATTCAAACTCTGTTGAGGCATTTTACTAACCTTATTCCTTTTTGGCCTGTAAGACACTTTAGAATTTCCTAACAGAGTTTACTGTTGTTTAGAAATTTGCAAGGGCTTCTTTTCCGCAAATGCCACCAGCAAATTATAATTTTGTCAGCAATGCTATTATCTCCAAGTAGTTCCATCAGACTTTGACCTGTATCATTCATGATATAAATTTTACTCTTGCAACATGACTACCATCTCTCTCTTAAAATGAGATCAGGTTCACAAATGATATAAAAGAAGCTTTATTGTTGAGGTTTTTTTTCAAGACAAAGGCAAGCTTCCCTAAGCTTGAATCTATTGTTATTAAAAAGAAAACAAAAACAAAAAAAAGCAAGACACAAGAAAAAAAAATATCCTGGGCAATAAAAAAATTATTTGAAACCAGCTTTGGAGCCACTTTTTTGTCTAAGCCTCCTAATGGCGCCTTTTAATTTGTAGGAGGCCAGCTGTATACATGATCGGTATGAAATAGAATAAGAACTAAAGTACATCAGCAGATTTTAATACTAGTATGTTGTATTGCTGTCTTTTCTATGGCATAGAACCTTTATTTCTGATAAGGAACGTCTCAGGCCTAGAAATTATATGAAATTGCTTTTGAGATTTGTGTGTGTTTGGTATTTTTGTGTTTCTTAGCTGCATGTTCATTTTTCATGACTTTCTTTACATTTTTTTAAATTCTTTTTTTGTTCTCTAAGAGGAAGCTTTGGAACGAGTTCCAATTTGTGCTGTTAATGCAGGCTTCTTGTTTTAGGAAGCATTGCTTATACTCTGAAGCCTTTAAACTCTGAAGATAATTGTTTCAGAATTATTCCAAGCATTCGTGCAGCTTTGGAAAACAGACTTGGGTTGTGGGAACAGTTGACAAGATTCTGAAAAGATGCCACTTGTTTCCTTCTGATCTCTCACTGGTTATTGTTTACTGTACAGTCTTCCCAAGGTGATGCCTGTGAGTCTGCAGGTGCTGGTCATTCTCTCCCGTAGCTGTCTCTGCATTTGTGGTAGACTCTCAAAGTTCCAGAACACTCAGCAAATTCCTTCAGTGATAGACTTTTTTGTTTCTAAAATGTGAAGCTTTAGGACCAAATTGTTAGAAAGCATCGGGATTGCCAATTATCTCAAGTAGACTTTATTGGATTTCAGAACATACAGCATGACTCTGAAGGCTACTACTATATGTTTTATATATAAATAATTACTGTTTATGATATAGACATTGCTATTGAATATTCCGAGAACCATTGTTAATTTTAAAACTAGCAATCTCTAAAGTGTGTCAGGTTGACTTGAATAAAAACACTATCACAACCAGGTTTGCCAGTTTGCAGAAACTTTCTAACCCTTCTCTCTCACATCAAGGTTTGTAAAATTGATGTGTTATCGTGGAAAATAACATACAGATTAAACAAAAAGTTAATTTTTATCTTTATTCAAAAATATAGCTGGCTGTCTTTAAGAAAGATGATGTATCCAAAAGCGTTTTCTGAGTAATTTTCTTTTTCTTTGTAGCATTTGATGTCTAATTTTGGACATCTTTTTATTGTACCATGTTTCTGTCTTACTCTTCAACCTGGTAACACTTGATTTGCCTTCTACACCCTATTTATTTCAAGTGTTCATATTTGAATTTCCTTGGGAAGAAAGTTAATCTGATGGCCCACCGATTTTGAAAAGCCTGAATAAGTGGAAAGACTGGTAGAGTTAAGAGAACTAGCTAAACTGCTATACTATACAATTGGTGTTACACCTGATACTTTGGAAGGGAAAAGTAAAATTATACTTTAAATAAAAGCAACCTTTTATAGACAACACATTGTGCTCTTTCCAAATTCAGTAGCAGTTCTATCAGAGGTGCAGTTGAACTTGGGTATACTTTCAGTGTTGAAAGTAAATGTAGTTTTGCCCTTTTTCTTAAAGTATATGTGAAATTATGGGATGTTACTTAAAACTGAGCACATGATCGTAAGATGAGCTCAGGCAGTATTTACTGATAGCTGAAACATGGGATGAATGTTTCGTGCTCCTACTTAGATTTGTTTTAAACAAGTGGATTGTATGATTGGAAAGGAGAATTCAGCAATTAACCGTTGAAATTTTAAGATTAATGTTTTAAAAGCTTTATACCTGTTTACAATTTGGGGACAAAAAGGCAGGCTTCATTTTTTCATATGTTTGATGTAAACTGGCTTAAAATATTTGTAAATAGAATCGAGCAAAACTGCACAAACTTGCACATTGAAAAGTACAACAAATTCCCATGATTACAGGAAAAATATTTACTATTCTAAAAAACATGAAAATTAAAGGCATAGCCAGTCAAGTGAATTTTTAAGTGAACTAGTTGTGGAAATTATTGGAATTAACTGAGCCAAAGTGATTATACATTCTTCATCTATTTAGTTAGCACTTTGTATCATTATATACAGTTTACAATACATGTATAACTTGTAGCTATAAACATTTTGTGCCATTAAAGCTCTCACAAAACTTTTTCTGTCATTATTTCATTTTTACGTCACGGGTGTCACCTGGGAGTTTCGAGGTGCCACACCTGCCCTGCCCACACCCAGCTTTCCTGTCGTCAAGCTCCCCAAGGCCTGGAGTGCCTGATGCTGGGGGGGCGTCGTCCTCTCAGGGTTGTGGTCACCACGCTGTGCTGATGATCTGTAAATGCAGCTGCTGCGTGTGTGAAGTGTCTAGTGACGTCCGGAGAGTGGCAGGATGGCATTCACAGCGAAGGCGATGGCGAGAAAGGCGAGGTGGTGTCGAAAGGGTAGAGGGACTCGGAATGTGCCCGGCAGAGGGCTGGCACTGCTGACATGCGAGAGAGTTTTCCAGAATCAGCAGTACGCTCCGTTGGCTGGAAGATAGATGGGTAGGGAGGACATGGAGGATGTGTTGCACTTGATCATACAGTCAGCGAGATACCTTTCAGGGCTGGCTTTTTTAAACAGGAAAACTTTGGTTTAGAACTTAGGGTTTAGATGGTCATGTCCTCCAGTGTAGAAAGAGTACCAACCAGGTGAGGAATTAGGGCTGCCCTGGGCTGCATCTTGGGGATGGGAGGGTTGGGTAGATAAGAGAGAAAAGTGGAAGTAAACTGGTGAGAAAGTGATTTAGAGCAGATGTGTGTGTGTCCTGAATACACGTAGAGATGCCATTTGCTAAGCGAGAACAGCAGAAGAAACAGTGGTAGGACGAGAGACAGATGACGGCGGTTAGGAGTGCATTGAATGTGAAGTGTCTCTGGGACGTCTGACTGGACATAACCCAGAGCCACTTATCAGATAGAACCGGAGCTCAGGACAGAGGTCTGGAGTGAAAATAGAACACAGGCAGACACATGGGCCTTATGTATTATCTGATATTTCAAGACTTGTCCTCAGGCCAAGAAGAATGAAGTTTCTAAAATAACAGCGGGCCGGGCTCAGCCTGGACTCTCAGCACTTTGGGAGGCCAAGGCGAGTGGATTGCCTGAGCCTGCGGGCGCGAGACCAGCCTGGGCGACTTGGTGAGACCTTGTCTCTACAATAAATAAAAAATTAGCTAGACATGGTAGCAAGCACCTGTAGTTCTGGCTACTTGGAAGGCTGAGGCGCAAGGATCGCCAGAACCCCGTGGGTTGACACTGGGGTGGCCGTGAGCGTGCCACTGCACTCCATCCTGGGTGACAGAGTGAGACGCCACCTCAAAATAAAATAACAGTGAAGCCTCACATTTGAAAGTTGAGCAGAAGAGAAGCTCTGGAAGGCGAATGATACGTTAGTGTCGTAAGAGAACCCCTCAAAAACCGAGGGAGGTGACCAGGTGCTGCCCAAGGTAGCTGTTCAGGTGAATTGAAGAGAAGCTCTGGAATATGGCAGCTGGCTCAGTGCTGATCTTTGCAGGAATGTTCTGGAGGGAAAAAAGAGGGATCCTGGATGAGGTTGCATTGGGTCATGGAGTGAGTAAGTAGCAAGAAGTGTTGGCTTTTCTGAATCAACTTGGCGGTGAAGAATACAAGGGGCAAGTGGGTGAAGAGGAGACAGCTGGTAGGATTGTCTGCTTCGGTTGGAATGTGGAGATAGGTGTTCGTAGGCTGGAGACAGGAGGGAGCAGGTGAGACGTGGAATCCTGGAGTCCCTTCCTTCCTGCTCCTGGAGCGAGGGAATCTGCCAAGGACTCGGGTGGAGATGAGCCTTGGCAAGGGGGCGTCAGAAGCCCAGCGTTTACAATAGGAAACGAAGATGCGGGTGAGAAGGTGAAGAGAGAACCGACGAGGGGGAAGTCGAGGAAATCCGCGTCTGATGGCGTCGTTTTCTCCACGAGGACCAGGTCTTGGAAGAGGAGGATGGTGGCCAGTGCTGAAACAAGACGGGACTGTCTTCCATCCGCAGCTCCTCATCCGAAAGGAGACTAGAACCACAGCTGAGAGCCTGGAAGCCTTGGGATGGCTCCTGCCGCCGTTCCTCAGTGTGGCTGGAAGTGTCAGCCAAGTGACCTGGGCTCTGCCCCCTGGCAGCCTGGGCAGCTGGATGCTTTTGTGCTTCTGCCGTCTCCTTGTGTAAAGCCTAGAGCCTGGATGGGGTGCGCTCTTAGGACCTTTTAATTCTGTGCTTGGTGTTAGTTACGATGGTTCAGGCTAAAAAGGGTTGGGTGTGGGTGAATGAGGAGTCTGTGGACGTCTGTGTTTGCACTAGGGAGTGGATCAAAAATGTGCATGCTTACCTTAATTGTCTGCTTTATACCTCTTGGTAAATCTAGGTTCTGGGCTTAGATGAGCGGAGATTCCAGATCACAAATGCTTAATCTTCAATAGCCAGTGGGTCCCCTGCTTGGTGCCTTAGCTTAGAGCATTTTAGCCCTTGAGTGATTTCTTGTGTGTCTGTTGCATGAGAGCTGTGAAGTTCAAAGTATTAGTGTGTTTGTAGATTAATTACAATAGTTAGTGAAGTCTTTTTTAGAGAGGGGGAAAAGGATTTGTAAAATTTACCATGTTCTTCATCTATTATTGTTTCTGATCTAGAATGGTAAAAGTAAGGGTTTTTTTTTAAATTTAAAAAATAAAATGAAATTAGCTAGTTTGTAAATTCAAATGGAAGGAAAAAGTTTTGCCAAAGGCCTCATTTCTCCAGTAAAAAAAATGGTGCTCATCAGAAGCTAATGGCCAGTAGCCAGTCCTGTGAATAACAGAAATATTCCAAGGGTTTTGAATAAGTGGTCATTTTAAGCCGCAGGTCAATTCTCAGACTTTGAAATGCAAATTTGAGGTTTACTCCAGAGAAATGGAGTTGGAAACTTGGGCTGAAGGGAAAGGAAATACACATCCAGCCAGAGATTGTTAGATTACCCCTTAGTAAAAGGTATACCTCCTCTCTGGCTTACTTTTGCAGAAATGCTTTACAAAAGCAAAAAACCCGCTGGGTTAAAAATATCCCAGCAGGGCCATCAAAACGTTAGGCCTGCTGAGGAAGTTGGGTGTCTGGTCTGTGATCCGGTGCTGTGTGAAAGATGCAAAGAATTGCACAGAAGTTGGATTAGAAAATAGAATTTATTTAGGATGCAGAGAGAGATTCATCTTCCCAAGGCGGGGGGTGGGGGGCAAAGCTAGGAAACATGGCGACCACAGCTCAAGGAGCTACATGGCCAGACCATAGCTTAGCAAAGCAATGACGAATAGCTAGAAAGAGAAGATGGGTCTCCTCAAGGTAGAGGAGGGAGCCAAAGCTAAGAAAACATAGCAGCCATAGCTCAAAGAACACATTGTCTGGCCAGTGCTTGACAAAGCAATGGTAAATGATTACTCGAAGTTGAATCCTTTTCAAATTTTCCTTTGTTGGGTTGCCTGTGAGCCATTAAGGAGATTGGGTCGTGGTCTGTTCCACGTCAGTCATTAAGGTGATTGGGTGGTGGTCTGTTCCACGTTGTCATGGAGGGCGGGTGATGGGTGGCAGGCAGATGGGTGGCTTAGTCACACGATTGCTGCCTTGTTGATGGGGTCGTCATGAAGGACTGATTAGGGTAACTTGGTCACAAAACAGGCTGGCGAGGAGGGAGTTGTAAAGCAATTATCAATAGCTACCTCTGAGAAACCAGTTCTGTTTTTGGCTAACGATTAGCTCTCTACAATAAATCACACACACAAAAAAAAACTAGCCGGGCGTGGTGGTGCGTGCCTGTAAGTTCTGGCTACTTGGAAGGCTGAGGCGGAAGGGTCGCCTGAGCCCAGCAGGTCAAGGCTGTGGTGGCCGGCAGCGTGCTACTGCCCTCCAGCCTGGGTGACAGAGTGAGACTCCAACTAAAAAA